ACATATAGGGGACTGGGTACCAATCTGGAATTCAGATTTTTGGCCAAAAGACCAAAATGCCCTGTCTGAAAGTGAGAGAAAGGAGAGAGGAAGAAAGCGACGCAGTGAGAGAAAGGAGAGAGGAAGACCGACGGTGATGAAATGCGGGAAGAAGGAAAGAAGAATGTTGGAAATGTTATTATCTTACTCCTTCGCATCACCATTCTGTAGAGATTGTTGATTTGGTGGGTTTTGGTTGTGGGAAAGAGGATTTGTAGTGAGAGAGGGAGTGAACCTGCGGGGAAAATGAAGTGGAAATCAGAAAACAATGACAAGCAATTACGTTACGTAACTGCTGTCATATGCCTGCTGGTTTTTGGTAAATCCCACTACGTGAATGGTAAATCCCACTATGTGAATGGTAAATTTTACTATACATATAGTTAATTATGAATTTTACAAAATACATATTGTGATTTACAACTTTTGTAGTGAAAGTGACTACTTTGTTAATGGGTTTTGCAACCTGTTTTCAGGAGATAAATAACTTGTTTGTAAAAACTAATAAAATTTCACGCTAAATTTGACAAAACGTATAGTGGGATTTACAACTTCCGTAGTAAAAATGACCACTTATTCAATGGGTTTTGTAACTTGTTTTCAGGAGATGGGCAGCTTGTTTCTAAAAACTAATAAAATTTCATACTAAATTTGACAAAACACATAGTGAGATTTACAACTTTCGTAGTGAAAATGATCACTTCTTCAATGGGTTTTGTAACATGTTTTCAAGGGATTGGCAACTTGTTTCTAAAAACCAATAAAATTCTATGCTGAATTTTACAAAACATAGAGTAATATTTACAACTTTTGTAGTGAAAATTATCACTTCTTAAATGAATTTTGCAACTTCTTTTCAAGGGATGAGCAACTTGTTTCTAAAAATCAATAAAATTTCACGCTGAATTTGACAAAACACATAGTGAGATTTACAACTTTCATAATGAAAATGATCACTTCTTCAATGGGTTTTGCAACATGTTTTCAAGGGATTGGCAACTTGTTTATAAAAACCAATAAAATTATATGTTGAATTTTACAAAACATGTAGTGAGATTTACAACTTTCTTAGTGAAAATGATCACTTCTTAAATGGGTTTTGCAACCTCTTTTTAGGGGATGAGCAACTTGTTTCTAAAAACCAATAAAATTTCACATTGAATTTTACAAAACACACAGTGAGATTTACAACTTTTATAGTGAAAATGACTACTTCTTAAATGGCTTTTGTAACCTGTTTTCAGGGGATAGGTAACTTGTTTCTAAAAACCAATAAAATTTCACGTTGAATTTTATAAAACATATGCTGGGATTTACAACTTTTGTGATAAAAGTGACCGCTTTGTTAATAGATTTTGCAATATATTTTCGAGGGATGAGTAACTTACTTTTCACTACCAATAAAATTTCACGCTGAATTTTACAAAACACATAATGGGATTTACAACTTTTATAGTGAAAGTGACCACTTCTTCAATGGGTTTTGTAAACCTGTTTTCACCGGAAGAGCAACTTGTAAGCATAAATAAATCATTCAGTGAACGTGCACCTGAAGTACATCACAATAAACATTAAACTATTAAGTTTCATAATTAATTACATGTATATTAAAATTTACCATTCACGGAATGGGATTTACCATTCACGGAATGGGATTTACCAAAAACCAGCAAACATATGACACCAATTACATTACGTAATTGCTTGCGACTATTTTCTGATTTCTGCTTCATCATTCACCAAATACTTAATATGAACCCTCAAATGCAATAATCCTGTTCCTATTTCACCATGAAACAGCCACAAAAATGAATAATCCAAATCCCGCCATCAACTTCTACTCACTCATGAATAATTCAAATACTTCAGCGACCTCTTCGACGACGACAATTTCAGGGGGTACAAGTTATTTCAGACAGGGCAATGTATTTCAGCGATGGTAACCAAATTCAGCGATGGCAATTTACTCCTACGACGACGGCAACGTGATTTCGAAAAATCCTTTTTGGTGACTGCAGGAACTTGGATTTAGTTTCGTAGAAGGAAATCAGTTTCTCCCTTTCTCTATCGCATGAATACACTGCTCAATGTTCAGAGACAATCAGGGCAATTCGGTCTTTTAGCCGAAAATCTATATTCCAAATTGGTACCCAGTGCCCTATTTGTCATTTTGCTTATTCAGGTCCCTTATTTGTCTTTTTGGAATTCAGGTGGTATTTTATTGTCATTTTCCCTACTTTTTTTTAGTACTTATATATTTAATAATGGATTTGATCAATGAAATCTAAACAGAGTTAATTATATCAAAATCACCGACATGAAAAAATGCCGAAATGAAAATTTTTCTTGCCCTGCTGATAGAGCTCTTAGCAACGTACGTAACCCTAACTTAATTTTTAAGCAAAAGAAATTATAGGAACAGAAAAATCTACTAAATAGGATTAAAACTATAGAAACAGGAAACTCTACTAAATAAAAAAAATAATCTCGTAAATCCAAATCAGTTATTATTTGATGGATGATTTGATTAATTGACCATTTTCTCATATTTTATCACTTTTCCAATCCAAACAGGTACTTGCACATCTTTTTAAACGTGGCCATGAATCTAACAATCCAATGTCTTCTGTTGATGGCACGTGTTTTTGAATCTAACAAGAAGCCATGTTGCACTTGACTTCTCACACGTAATCAACAAATAATTTCATAAGAAAATATTAATAATATATATTTAAAAATGAATAGTTTAATTATCATCTGGTTAAAAATGAATAATTTAATATCAACGGCACTTTGTATCCCCATATATATAATGGTAAGAGAGAAGCATCACGATCACATATACTTTTCTGTGCGTTGCAGGCTCAGAAGTCAGAGCAACAATGCAAATATTCTATTTGAAAGAGATAAAATATATTTATCTGATCCTAGAGTAGAGAGAAGCTTTTTTTAATCCTATTTATAAGTCATTTCATTAAATTTTTACTATAAATGTACCGTATTATCATTCATTTGTTATAGTATAGATAATTATTTTTTTTAAAAGGTGCATATATTAAATAGGGGTCAAGTTGGAAAGTTGCTATATTTTAATGAAGAGTTAATACAGTTTAAGGTTTTTCTTGATCTGTGTAAAACATATTAGAAGTGCTTTATAAATAAGACTAAAGGAGTACTTCTCAAGCATGCAAAAATCAATGACTTATTCAAGCCTAATTTTCTGTATTATAATTATCTATAGAAAAAAGCCCAGGTTTTTTTTTTTTTTTGGTTAATACAACTTTTAATTTCTTATGTTTGTCCTCATTTTGATTTGAATCCTTAAGTTTTTTTTTTTTCAATTTAAAACATTGTTGGTCTTTATGATTTAATAAAGATATGGATCACTTTATCTATTGAGAGAATAAAACCAAAATTCGTGCAAGCTTTAATAACCAAAAATTATATTAACATTTTTTTCTTAACATAAAATATAAAAAGTGAATGGAATAAGAGAGAATTACAATGAAATCTCATAAGGAATATAACCATCACAAAGTCCCAATAACATGTTAGATGTTGTTACTTCTCACTTTAGAATTTATTATTATAAGCCACTCAACTGTTATTAAGACTTTATAGTAACTACTACGTTCTTTTCTTAGGACTCTACTGCAATTCTCCCATGGAATGAACAATACATCTTAACCGAGATTAAGATAATTCTACAATTTTACTCAAGCACCATTTTATTAATGGAAGCTAAACCAAATAAAAACAGAAAGGGAGAAAACCAGTGATTGAAATTTAGAGATAAATAACTCCTGAATTCCATTGAACTGTTATTAATTTCCACAGGGTTCAGTATATAAATAGCATAAGGGTTTTATACATACACATAGCTTGTTTTATTTCTGGAATATAGAAGGCTTCATGCATGAATGTTTATGCTGGTGGATATATATATATATCAGATGAAGTTGGTGAAGAAGTGAAGAATGTGAGAGGTAACGTCACTTGCAGCTTCTTGGTTATTGAAATGGGCGACGCCTGGCTGCACCACAACTTCCTGCAAGTTGGGAACGTCTTCTTTGAAACGGCCACTCTCTATATATTCCTTTGTGCCCAGAGAAGTGTACACTGAGTCCAACTCGCCTGTTATGTACTTCACTGGCACTCTCACTTTCGCCCCCGTCCATGCTCCTGTCAGTTCCCAGTTCCTGCATGTTTCAATTCAATTCATACTCCCACTTAAGAAACCTATCTAATAAACTTTTCTTTTTCTTTTTCTTTTTGTAAAATTGCTGAAAAATCTTTCGGTACAAAATTTATTGCTGAAATGTACTTGAAATTTGGTTAAAGATTCATGTGCAACCTATCTTTTTTCCAGCTGTGTACGTGTCTTCAGCTATGTGCAAAATGCAAGATACGTGCATAGTTGAATAAGAGAAAATTAATAACCGAGTCAAAACTGCATGGATGGACTGAGTTTGGAAAGATTAAAAAAGTTAAATAAATTATTTTGAAGTTTTTATTTTTATTTTTTGGAACTAATTTAATTTTCTTGACTTAAGCTGATACAGATAATCTAATGATATACTATCTCCGGTCCTAATTATAAGAGCTAGTTGATTAATTTAAGGAGATTAAAGAAATAAGTTAAGTTAGTTATTTGTAATAAATAGGTGTTGTCTTTCTTAAAATACTCTTACTAATCAAGTGTATTGGCTAGAACTACCATTGTTAGAAGAATTATCTTGAAAAAAATGCTTCAATATAAGAGACAAAATGGATTGGAGTCTTATATTTAGGATCAAAATAAAAATCAAACAAGGTCTTATATTAAGGATCAGAGGTACTACATAACTATTTTAGAAAGATTATATGACATGTGCTATAATCAAGTCAGGAATTATGAACGTAATGGAAAATAAATGGAAGAATGATAGGAATTACAAACCGGTCGAAATTTCGGTAATAGTTCAAGGGACCAGTAAAACCAGACTCATCAAACTTGGAAGCATAAAAAAGAAGGTCTTCTTGGGAGAGCCAAGGGGTAAGTTAGGTGAGACATTTGATGAGTTATAACCAAACCCTTCTTTTGGAAGGATTGGGGGACCAGATTTGCGACTTGTAAGCACATTCCTCAGTACTTGCCCACTCCCAATTTTGGCCATCGCCTCTTCCATCTTCCCTGCCTCCTATATACACACACACACATATCAATAATAATCTACCTACCACTGACAATATATGTGTAATTAATTGGGATACTGGATAATGAATTATGAATTTGGAACTTAAAGTAAATTAAGGTCTTATATTGAGAACAAAATCCAACCATCGACTAACTTCTATATTAAGGACCGGAGGTGGTATATAAGAGCCAGATTAGAGGTTGGATTTAGTTCTAAATATAAAAAACCCCAATCCACTTTGTTTTTTACATTTATAATTTTTCTTCCAAAACATCCCATTGATTATAAAGTGTTTGCACCAAGGGATAGTTCCAATACATATTATTAGTTTAGAAAAGTCAACACACATTTGTTACAAATAATTAACTTAACTAATTTTTTTAATATCCTCATATTAGTTAACTAAGTCATATATTAAGGACCTAAGATAATATATATAATATCTAATCTGCATGGATTTAGATTATCCATGTAAGTCGTGAATAATATAACTCACCAAAATTTGTGCAAGACAATAGTCATCTGTCTAGTTGTAACATAAACCAGAGAATCATGATTCATGGCCCTTCTTTCATCCTATGTATAATAGTATTGTCTCTAGTTCTTGATATAGAAACTAAGTTAGTTGGCACTGTTTATTGAATTTATAAATTTTTTTTCTAAATTATTTCCATTGAGTGCATATATATATATATATATATATATATATGAGAGGAGTTTCATTGATAATTATTAAAGGAAATATTTTAGAAAAACTAATATATATTTATTACAGATAATTAATTTAACTAATTTTAAATCCGTACCTATTATGCAATAATGATACCACCACAATAAGCAGGGGAAATTGATTTCACATTTTATATGGTTTTTTTTTTAATAATTGATAAGGAAACAAGTATATGCCGTTTACTCTTAGTTACAATATAATTAATATGAACATCACTTCAGTCAGTCACGTGCTATAAAATTTTCCCAAAACAACTTTGAACTTGAGATAACGTCGAGAAGATGGATATAGACTTTTTCCAATATATTCATAGCACGCTTCAAGAAATGGCATAAAAATTTTCATTGATTTTAGATTATATACTTATAAAAAGAAAAAAAATTAAAAAAACAAAAATATAAAAAATTAAATCTCAACCGTCCATATTAAATTTGAACGATTAATATTTGGTAAGCATCATAGTGCTTATTACTGCAATAAGTACCGAAATTGGTTCTATTTTATGTTGTGTTTGATGATTGATAAGGAAAACAAGTATAGGAACACGTATAGGTCGCCTATGATTACTATATACTGCTTATATTTTTAATTATAAGATTTTATTTATACTCTACAAACGAGATCTTACCATTAAGATCGAAAGTAGTAATTAATTAAAGTGAGCACTTCAGTCACGTTTTATAAAATTTTCTCAAACAAGTTTAAGATAACATCATCAAAAAGATGAACGTAGACTACGTCCAATTTTATATATTTTTTCTGAATTCATAACGCGTTTTAGGAAATTGACATAAAAATCTCCACATGCAAAGTACCATAATGAAACTATTATTCTCTAGGTCTCCTCGTCGAGCATATTCACAAATCAAATAACATATCTACCATTAAGTTCGAGATCTGTTGAAATTAGCAAAGCAAAATAAGAAGAAGAAGAAGAAGAAGAAGAGAGAGGAGAGGAAGAAGAAGAAGAAGAAGAAGAACCTGGAATCTGCAGATATAATAATCGTCTCCATACAAAGCTCGAAAAGCATCAAGAGGCTTAACTCGAGGGTTTCTGGGCATGCAAGGCACACTAAGGCACACATAGGCCTTCACTTTATCGGGACGAAACATGCACAGATACCAACCAATGATGGCTCCCCAATCGTGAGCCACCAGCAACACCTGATCCACGCCCAGAGAATCGATGAGGGCCACCACGTCGCCGACGATGTGGAAGCAGGTGTAGCTGGTGACGGAAGGCGGCGCCTCCGTGTCGCCGAAACCGCGGAGATCCGGAGCGACGGCACGGAACCCTAGGGAGCTGAGGGAGAGGATCTGGGAGCGCCAGGTGTACCAGAGCTCAGGGAAGCCATGGAGGAACAATATAACAGGACGACCTTCGTCTCCTTTCTCTGCGACGTGCATCTTGATGCCGTTCACTTCCACTGTTCTGTGCTTTATTGTTTCCATGTTTCTATTTGGTGCTGCTCTGAGATGATTACCAGTATGTTGATGGTAAGGGTGTGAGAAGAAAATGATTGGGAAGAAGACGAAGAAGAAGGAGAAGAAGGCTTTCTGAAGTAGTGAGAGGAACGCGCACGGTTACAGAAGAGGACGAAAATGGCAAATGCATGTGTTGTTGAAGAGAAGGACGTAAGGTTTTATTACCTTTGAAAGTACAAAGGAGGCCATTGTTGATTTTAGAAATGCTTTGATTTAACATTTTTGGAAATGATTTTGGGACATTACTCGGTGTATAAAATAAACATGTGAAAAAAATTTTATCTTAACTTATAGAATGATTTGACTTTAACAGTTGAAATTTAAAATTTTCATGCTAAAGAACTCATGCGGCATGCACACGTTATGTGTACTCACCAAAAGTCGAACACGTAAACTCATATAACTTAATTATTAAAATTTGATATCGTGTCAAGTATCTGCTGAGCCAAATCATTTTGAGTACTGCCTTATGTTTTTAATATAAAAACTAGTTAGGGATTAAATTTGATTTTAGATATAAAAATTTAATCTATTTTATCTTTCAAATTTATAATTTTTTCCTCTATTGATTATGAGAAGAAGTAATTTCGATACACATGATTAAATATGATAGTTTAAGAAAATCAACACAAATTCATCACAAATAATCAACTCTTAATATTTTCAAATTAATTATCTATAGTATTACATAAATTACATCAGCAACAATTATTATGTCCATTTTCCAAAAATTAAAGAATCACGAATGTATATTTGAATTACATTTCAATGTTCCTGTACTTAATAGCTCGAATTTATAAATAGAGAAGGATGTATTAAAAACATGGTGCATGAAAGTCATAATTAAGTTCTTTGAATTTTGGAGACAATGCACATCTACAAAATATAATAATACGTACAATGAATAAATAACTCATTAAAATTATAAAAACAATTTCATTCCTTCCACACCATTATCTCTATTCAATTTTTTTCATTTTATTAATTAATTAATATTAATAAATAATATTTATAATTAATATTATTTATTTTTTATTATAATATATTATAATTATAATATAATCATATGAAACACATTAAATTCAATACACTACCTCTGGTCCTTAATGTAAGATCTCGTTTGATTTTTATTTTGATCTTAATTATAAGACCCCAATTCACTTTATCTCTTATATTTATGCATTTTTTTCAATATAGTCTCTCTAATAATAGTAGTTCTAACCAATAAACTTGATTAGTAAGGATATTTTAGGAAAGACAACCCCTATTTATTACAAATAACTAATTTAACTTATTTTCTTAATCTCCTAAAAATAGTCAACTAGCTCTTATAATTAGGATCGGAGGTAGTAATATCAATTACAATGCATTAAAAGTAAGAGAAAGTCATCATATTACCTTTTCTATTATAAAGTAACAAGATTTCTAGAAAGCCTAAAAAATAAAATTTATGTAAGGAAAGTATTTAATAAAAATTATATTAGAGATTGTATTTAGTGGGTTTAAATTAAAATATTAGGGACATTTGTCAATTTTATTCATGTTCACAATGTGCCCCATGTTTTCCTTTATGAAAGGCCTCAAGAGGGTTTATTTTGAACTTGTTTGAGTTTTTTCCTTTTATAAATCAATTTGTAAAAATTATTTTTCAAAATAAAATAAAATAAAAGTATATTTGATTATATTGATTTGGAAGTAGTTTTAAGAGCTTAAAAAATTTATTTAAAATATTTTTTACCATCAATCACCACGCATAGTTTATCATGAAACCATGGTTTGTTTCTATTCAAACACTTCCTGAGCCTATACATTATGTAGGCCAAAAAAACCCATTTGCAAAATGCCAACCTAAACCTACCTTGGACAATTATTTATTTTTAAAATATTTTTTATATAATATACAAACAAATAATATAGGCTTTGTTTTAAAAAAATAGGACATCACATAAAGTAATATAATTATAATAATTAATAAAATTTAAAATATAAATTAATGTGAGTTAACCCTTAAATTGATGGGCTAGCTCGATCGTGTGAATTAAAAAGACTTGGTTAATAAGGGTTGAACCTACAAGTCGGACCCACACTATCACCCCTGATCGCCACCGACCACCGTCGCCAAGTGGTTTAGTCAGCATTGATTATTAATGACTGTGGTGATGGCGGATGGTGGCGAGTCGACCACGGCCAAAGGGCAATAATGATTGCCATTAATGACATTTGATGGCCGTGGCCAATCGCGATGATTGGTGGTAAATGACAATACCCATCGGTGGCGGCTGGGGGGCTGGTAGTGGCACAATAACTTCCGGTGGGTTTTTGTTTTTTGTTTTGAATGATAACTGAGAGTCAATAAATAAAAACCAACGTACAATAACAGGCTAAACAAATCTACTGTCCTTCGTCACCGTCCGCCTCAAAACATAAAGGAGAAGAATGATCAGCAATACAAAAATTGCTGTCAATCCTATGAGAGAGTTTCGCTAATTGATCTTCCAAGGAAATCCTCTCCCTATCTACATGACAAAAAACAATATGCCAATCCCTATGTATTGCTATTTTAACATCATTCACCAAATCTTTGAAAGAGTAACTATCATTACACCTCCCTAGTAGTTAGATTAATTGCCTCAATACAGTCCGAGAATAAACAGATCTTTCTGAAACCTTTAGACCAGCAAAGATTTAGAAGTTTTTTTGGGTGCAAATATAGTGAATTTGAAAAAAGATTAACTAGTATTTTTACCCTGAAAATTTTTAAAAAAGAAGTTGTGGGTATATAGAAGTTTTTTTGGGTGCAATTTTACCTTGAAAGTAGTAAAAACATAGCAATTTTACCCTGCTTTAACAGACCCAAACGATCTCCTTTAAAAAGCATTTTTGCCCCCAAAGTTTTCCAAAAGAAGTTGTGGATATCTCGAAGTTTTTTATGTAATTTTGCCAAGGAAGTAGTAAAAATATAGCAACTTCATCCTACCCAAAATTGTCACTTGACTTTTTATACTCTTCTGGTCCTTAATATAGGACTCAATTCTTGAGTTGGTTTTGATCCTAAATATAAGACTCATTTATCATATTTATCAATTTTCTCTAAATTACCCCTATGGATACTCCCTCAACCATAATCAAGTAGAAGAGGGAGAGAGGGTATTAAAAAAGCTGATTATGGTGTTTTAGGAAAAATATGTCGCTTTTCTTATAATTAACTAATTTACCTAACTTCCTTGATCTAATCAAATTAGTTAAAAGGGTCTTATATTAAGGATCAGAGGAGTATAATATATCAATTTATAGGTTAAGTAAATTAGTTTGAGAGAAAATGATAAATATGAAAAGCAAAATGGACTAAAATTTTATATTTAAGACCAAATCTATCTTCCAACTAACTTTTATATTAAAAGATGTTGTGGGTATATTAGTGACATATATTATATAATAAGAAAATACAAGAGATTGAGATGTTGTGGATGAAGACGACGAGAAAATTAAGGAGGAAATAAGGAGAAATTTTTAGGACCCATTCGATCTCATCATGATGATGACCACTAGGTGCTCAGTGTTATAATATAATCTAGATCATTCAACATCTACTATAAATGATGGCTAAGATTTAAAATTTGTAATCACAATTGTTTTAACAATAATTTTTGGAACCATCCAAAATCAATATGGATGCTTAGAGTAAGATGAACACATCATGCTCATATTTGGGATAAGTATGGAATGTGCTTTTGGAATTTTCGTTCACTTCATTATTTCAATAGTGTGTACATCACTTCTATTTATATGATCTCAATATTAAAGACTAATCCAAAAAGTTACATGTACATCATGAAGAATAGAATTAAACCGTTTAAATTGTACAATTGGAGGTTATAAAGTATAATGTAATTTTTTTATTAAGTACGGGTATCTTTCCATAGAAAACCTATTCGAACCATATCAATAACATCAAATGTAAGTATCTCTCACTAGAATTTGAAAGTTGAGATGGAAAGTTATAAAGTCTCATTCTTGAATGTTAAGAACATCCACTGGATTATAATATTGATAATATTTTATATTCATTTTTGTATAATGTAATGTATGTTGTATTCTTGTATAGCCAATCATTAATCATTGCGAGTCCTGCTTCTCCTCATTGCTTGTTGGGGAGATCTTTTCGAATCATAGTCAGAGAGAGAGGTTAACATATACAAATGCAACACGTTAATTCACATTAACTTTGGGAAATTTGTCTCCATTTCATGATGGGCAAGAAAGACTTAGCGTTAATTTGTTTGCAATTGCAGCATTTATATATATCAATATGTTAAACCATCACACTAGAACATATACTCTTCTAATCCTATTTATAAGATAGGGAGAAGAAATTTTTTTATTTTATCTATAAGGCGGAAAGACAAATTTTTCAAATAAAATATAATTTTATTCTTTATTTATTATTGTGTTGACTTTATTTTCATAAGGTATAAAGTTAAAAAGTCATTGAATTTTAAATAATAGTAAAAAAGTGCAAGTTTTTTTATTTATTTATATGAAATATGTTGAAAGTAACTTATTAAAAAGACTCAAACCCCCTTTAAAGCTACCAGTATCGGTACCAGGTACCAATACTAATTCATCAAGTGATATGAAGTGTCTGTGCTTCATACATGAGACATATATATAAACACCCGCTAAATCTGCTAAAAGCTGCGAGTGAAAATAACAATTATAAGATAGTTCAACACCATGATTTTCTATCAATGTTTTGAAAGCCAGATCACACATCAAATGGCAATGGTCTAACCAGTCAGATGGGTCATTGAATTGGTGATATAATAATTAAATAAAAATTTAACAACAATAATTATATGCATTGTCTATGTATATCTCAATAAATTCATAAAAAGTTTAGTTGTCAAGATATTAAGATAATAACATCAAAGTATATGAATTTTACTATTAAATAACACCATATGACAACAAGTAGTCTGAAAAATATATTGAATGTTGTTTGAGAGGGATCAATTTTCAATTTTTCATAGGTTTTTAAATATTTTTTTAGCATTTTTGGATCAACTCAAAAAACTGCCTGGTTTTTTAAAAACCAATATAATTTTCAATCTAACTCCAAATTCTGACTCAATGGCAGTTCAACTCCCATCTAACATGGGTCAACTAGAAAAAATAATTTTTTAATCTAGATCAAGCCATTAATGAGAGTCTGATCAACAATCTAGATTTAAGGTTTTGATGATAATAAATTAAGAAATATGTGTTTTAGTAAGTTGATCAATCACCTGATCGATCAAGGGTTTATCGATCATTTGATAGATAAAGTTCCTGTGTTGACAAGAAACTTGTAGAAATGTTAATCGATAATCTGATAGATAAATCAAATTTGTATGTGTTCATCACTAACACTGTTTTGTATAAAAGTTTGTAGAAAATTATTGATCAATTGATCGATAATCTAGTGATCGAACAACTAACAGATAATAAGACACAAGTTTTGGTAAGTGTTTATCGATCACTTGATTGATAAATGAGTTATCAATGAGAAGACAGATAAATGGTAAAACTTCCTACTCTCATTGTATTTTGTTTCAATCACCATTTATCGATCACTTTATCGATTATAGATTTATCGATAACTTATTCTATCATTGCATAATATCTCACCTGCTTATCGATATTTTTCTTCTGTTTAGGTTCTTTTGAAAATTACTTTATTGATCACTTGATCGATCAACGGTTTATTGATCAAATCATCGATCATCACCTTTTTACTTATTTAAACTGTTTAAGTCTTTTTTCGATCACTTGATCGATCATCAATTTATCAATAAAATGATCGATCATCCAATCTTCTGAATATTCTATTTTCACATAACATGATCGATCAAACATGCTTCTGGCATTTCAAAACTGAGTTTCTCAACTATATGATTATCGATCACTTGATCGATAAGTCTCTAATCAATCATTTACTCGATCATCTTAGAATTTGTGCTCTTTATGAAAATCTTTGATAAACTTTGTTTTATCGATCGAATTTTCTGTCATCTGTTTATCAATAAAGTATTCAATCAATGTATCTTGAAAATCAAATTCTCTCCTGCTTATCTTTATCAATAAATTGATCGATCAAACATTTCCTAATCACTTATTCGATCAATGATCCAACTCTTTCAATACCAGAAGCTTCGGGGAGACTTAAGAATCTTCTAAATATTTCTCTTCAAGCTTTTCTCAGCCTTACTATTTATCTTAATTCTTTATTTTAAGAGATTTAGAATCATAAGTGACCTTGAGCCTTCTCCTTCTGAAATCAATCTTTTCATTTATCGATCACTGGATCGATCATGTATTAATTTATAAGTTGATCGATAAATATAGTTATCTGTTTCAAAATCTTTCATCTTTATTAATCGATAACGTAATTGACAAACCAGTTATCGATCATGTCTTCGATCAAGGTTGATCAGTTCATAGTTGTTGGATCCGATGTTTGATTGATTTACTTCTCTCCTACCATAAGAATATTACTATCATTTTATCAGTTATCTTCCTGAATTTCATTTTGAAGAAAGAACTTACTAGATTGAAGTATTATTACAGATTACGAAGAAAGTTCAACGGTTATTCAATAGCCTGTAACCTATCATGTCAAAAGCATTAAATGGCGAAAATCGTTGCAGCTGGAAAAACACTCAACCAAACTCTCAAAAGCTAGAAGCTCTTTCGTCTAACGGTTATTAAACTTCCGCAATTATAAAAGGCATGAAGAAGCATTGAATGCGGATATTGAATACGTGAGCTACCTTCTGCAAATATTTTACTGTTGCATTCAATACTCTGTTTTCGTCTTTGCTGAGCTTCAGTGCTTCTCATCCATTTACTCTGTGAGAGAGACTAACATATCATCTTTAATCACTTTCTGAGTATAACTCAAGAATGTGGACTCTTGAGTGGGTTTATAACCTTACGGGTAATAAGGAGGAGTGATTGAGAAGATCAATTGTTGTACTGAGGCACCAAGAACCCGGTTAATCTTGGATCATAGTGAAAATCTCAGAGGTGTTCTGAGAACTGGACGTAGGTCAAGCGGTTAAGACTGAACCAGTATAAATCTGGTGTCATTGATCTGCGGTGAAATCTTTCTAATTTTAAAGCCCTCTGTTTTATTAATTTCATTATTTTAATTCGGTTCAAATTTTTATAACTCATCCAATTCACCCTCATCTTAAGTGAGATTGCCACTAACAATCCAATCTAGTTTTTTTTAATGATTATCCTCCACATAGGCAGCACATAAACTTGCCTCTTTTGTCTTCTTTAGCCACGCTAACTTGCCCCTTGTTACATATGTGATTAACAATTCTTATGAATAATATTGATTGTGATGAATTCGTTTCATTGTTTTAAAAACATTTATTTTCTTTAATAGTTCAAAGTTTGTTTTTTTTTAATTATACCTACAATTTCATTTTAACATTTAAAAGTGTATGTAATACTATTTTCATTTTCCCGAACCTTTGATAGTAACCAAAATCTGTTCTGGAATGGTCATTTCTCTGAATCCCCTTCTACTTTGTGCACTTCTTCTGTTTCCGCCACCTACTTGTGTTTTTGCCCAAACCAGATTCACTCATTGCAGCAGACAGCAAATCCATATGGGTGCTTTCACCTTCTGGAGATTTTGCCTTTGGATTTCAACCACTGAAAGAATAATAATTCTTTCTTGCCCTTCATCTGGTATGCTAAGATTGCAAACACAACCATTGGCTGGTATGCCAATGGAGACAACCCGGCAGGTTAATATGATCTTTGATCCTTTAAGCTTGTTTTTATTTTGATTTTAGTTCTTTAAATTTCAAAACATAAGTTTTAGTTCCTCAACAAGAAAAATTGTTCAATTTTTTGTTGAATTATATTTCAAAACATAAGTTTTAGTTCCTCAACAAGAAAAATTGTTCAACTTTTTATTGAATTATAGAGACTGATATTTTAAATGAAAAAAATATTGAGGGACAAAAACTTATAATTTGAAATTTGAAGGAATAAAAATTGTATTAACCCCGATGCGGCTCCAAAGGGGTCAACAATTCAACTTACCTCTGCACAAGGTCTTAAGCTTACTTCTTTGATGGTGAGATTTTGTGGATTTCAGCTAACCTTTATGGTACTGTTCTTCATGGCCCCTTGAATGACTTCAGCAGCTCTGTTCTTAAAGATAGAAGCTTGAACTCTGTTTGGGATAACTTTAAGGATCCTACAGACACCATATTGCTCTCACAGATTTTAGGAAGAGGAGGAGTGCTTTCTACTAGAAAATCAGAGACAGATTTCGCCGGGGCAAAATTCCAACTTGTACTTCAAGATTATGGTAATCTAGTGATGCATTCCATAAGCTTACCATCTGGGTATCCTAATGAAAATTATTTTGAGACCTATATTGTTGAGTCTGAAACAAGTAGCCCTAGCATTGAACTAGTCTTCAACAAATCAGGAGAGTTGCATGTTTTAAGAGAGAATAATGATACGTATACCTTCTCAACATCCTCTCCCAATCAATTTTATGTTGGAGTTACTCTTGATTATGATGGAGTTTTCAGGTTCTATCGACATCCAAAGAATTCCTATTGCAATGAAACTTACATTACTCTCTGGTCCTGGCCAGATAATATCTGTCACGCATTAGTTAGTGAAGGAACAAGCGTTTGTGGATACAATAGCATTTGCTCTTCGGTTGATAATAATAGGCAAGTTTGTAGATGCCTAGAAGGTTATTCTCCTATAGATCCTCAAAATCCATTTGATAACAGTAAACCAGATTTCGTAAACAGTAAAGAAGACGAGTCCAGTCAAAAGAAACAGGGTGTTCATGAGACCCAGATGTCAGCTATGCCTATCCAAAATTGCAGAAAAAATGCCTTGCTAGTCAAATAAAAAGAGACCCGAATAAAAATAGGCCTTTTTTGGCACGCCTTTCAATTTTATTTTTTTATATAAAAACAAGGCATATTTATTTTATATGTTACATGGAGTTTTTGAAATGATCACTCAAGTAAATAATGTATCAAAAAAGAATTTTTCATAAATTTTCTTATATTTTATGTTGATATATTTCTTATTATAAGACACCACATCATCATCACACTGGAAAAAAAAAAAAAAACCCTCTTTCCCCTTTTATCATTATCAATGTTCATGAAAATATGGATAAAAAAAAAATATAACCATAAAGTCATATCAACAATTACTGAATATGTGGACGAAAAAATAAACATGGAAAAAATAAAGCTTTTCCCTTTCATTATCATCATCCATGAATATTCAACAAAGAAAATAACAAGGAAGAATTAGAAAGAAGGACCAATAGCGAGTGATATTTATAAGAGATTATCATAAAAATTAAAATTATTTAAACGGACCAAATATTCCAATATAAGTCTAAAAATACCATATTATTCCTATCCAAACCTGCTATTTCTCCTATATTCCCTCCTACATTTTATTTTTAAAACTAATACAAATTAATAAATTTTACTAAATTAAACCTGATTTCTCTTAAATTTTACAATATATGCAAAAATCAATTTAAAAAATATGCAGACATTGTTCAGTGATGAGAAAATTAATTTTTATTTCCTTTATAATAAGTAAAATTTTATTTTCAAAACCATCATAGATTTTTATTGAAAATAAAATTTATATAATTTTATTATAATTTATATTATTATATAATTTATTATATACACAATTTTAAAAATAAAAAAATTTTATAATTAATTTTTTATTTTAGAAGAAATTTATGTTAGATTTAAAATAATAAATTCATGTAATGATAAGAAATTTAAAGAATTCAAATAATCATTATAACTGTGTAAGACTCCTGCCCAAAATCATTTGACAAAAGTCACCTAATTATATGATATATTAATATAAATAAGATATAAGATATAAAAAATTAAAAAATATAAAAGAAATTTTATTTCACTTAAACGAATTACAACAAGGGGATATTCCTAAAAAATAATTTTTTGTAAAATAAATTAATTTAGTAAAATTTATTAATTCATATTATTTTTAAAAATAAAATGTAGGAGGAAATATAGAGAAAATATAGGAGGTTTAGATAGGGACAATATGGTATTTGTAAATTTATATTTGAGTATTTGGTCCTTTAAAATAATTTTAATTTTTATGATTCTCTCTCATAAATATCCATTCCCATTGGTCCTTCTCTCTAATTCTCCCAAATAACAAACCAAATCAAACCAAAAATATCTTTAACCTTTTGGTTAATAAAAGGTACCAAAAATGGTAAGGTAATATATCAACATAAAAGAAAAAAAAATATAGGTGGTATTTTTTTATAACTTATTATTTACTTGAGTGATCATTTCAAAAGCTCAATACAACATTTGAAATAAACATATGTCTAGTTTTTATATAATAAATAAAATTAAAAAATGTTATATCTAATCATAAATAAAAATATAAATGAATACTCCTTATCCTTAATATAAGAATTAGTTACGAATTAGATTTAGTTCTAAATATAAGATTTTAATTTACTTTGCTTCTCATATTTATCATTTTCTTTGAAACTAATTTACCTAACCTATAAATTGATATATTATATGAGAGTCAAGTGATAATTGAAGAGAGGGTGAAATTTCTTTACTTTTAGTACTTTCGGGCCAAAATTGCACAGAAAGAACTTTCCAGCCCACACAGCTTCTTTTTGACAACTTTTGAAACAAAAATTCTTTGTAACCCGATCAACATTAGTTGACCATTCAGGTTTGTTAGAGTGAGATAAAATTGCTACTTTTTTACTACTCTTTGGATAAAATTGCATCAAAAAAAGTTTCAGATACTCACAGCTCTTTTTTTAAAAACTTTCAAGGCAAAAATACTATTTAGCCCATTTGAAAAAATCATAAACAGATTTTAAATGTGTTCTTTTTTTGTTTTTTAAAATTAAAATGATTATAGTTTCAGAAACATTTAGATGAAAACCCCTCAATCAAGTAAGATTTTTTCAAAAAAATTGAAAATATTGTTTTTATCTGACCATCTAATTAGGTCAAATTTTAATATTGTCTGACTCAATTGTAGCAGCTCTTCCAAAGATATGTTCTACATTTGCACAGACTCAAACCCAAATATAGGACATTTCTTTGAAAAAGAATTTGAATTTTTTTCACCATATTGCTAAGGGTTAGTCCCTTTTTGCTTAAATCGAACTCCCTGTTAGCTTTTCTGCTTTGATGCTGTTCTTGGGGTGTGTTTCTTTTCCTTTTGGGGTTGAACCAATAATGCTTTTCTGTGTGTACACTTGCTCATGGTGATCATTCTCAACTTGAGCTTTTATTTACTTTTCTGTGTTCTGCCACACTTTGCCCTTTTGGTTTAGGGTTTAAAGACCCTTTGGACACATTTCTAGTGTTTCTGAAAGTTACGAAGATACTTATCTTTCAATGGCGTGTTAAACACCAACGTATTTCTCGTAAACAAGGTTGTACATGGTTTAGCAAATAAGAGGTCTTGCAATATTCAGAGCTTTATGGCTTTAATCCTCAATACCTGAGGGTTGTGGAAAATAATTGTTTGGAATTTAATTCCCTCACTATTTGATTTCTAATGTATTTTTGAACTTAAGTTCCTCTTTTGTATTCGGGAAAAAACTTTTTTTTTATAATTAGAGTCGAGACTCAATGAACAAAAAATTAAAAGATCAGGACAAAAAAGAAATTTAAATTTAAAACATATTATAACCAAATTGTTATTATTTTTTTTACATTTTTATTATATACTTTTAATAGCTAATATTCACAAAAAATAAATTCTTGTATGAGTTCATGGTCTAAATTTATTTTTTTAAAATGTAAACTGGAATTTATTACTCAAAAGAAGTATTACAACAGCAAAAACAATCCATCTCATTTATCAACATCCGTCTCTTGATAAAACGAGGAAGTTGATCAAGAAGTCAAAAATTCCCTTCAATCCTATCTGAGAACTTCACTGGCCTATCAGTAATAGTTATATCCTCTCTATACACAAGTTACTATAACCTGCTAGTCCCTATGAAGGTCAAGCCTAACTCTATCACAACCACCTAAGGTCCAATTGGTATGAGGAAAAGTGAGAGGAAGAGAAGGGAAGCAAAATTTTAATAAGCCCGATTTAAAAAAAATTAAAAAATAAGGTTAAAAGTTTTTAATTAATTTTTATTATTCTTTTATATTACTTCTTCTTTTTATTAAAATTTCAAAAACCCCACGTCTCTAATTTTTGAAAATTCTTTGGATCAACACAAATTAAGACCATGTATAAAACCAATTATTCAGCAATAATAGGCAGAACTGTTGTTAATTTACAGTTGAAGCCAGAGATCCAGCAGTCATTAACATTCCTTCCGTCTCGTTCCAAAACTGAACCATCCATAGCGACTTATTCAAGCATTGAACGACCCATGTGGACTAGAGTCTTGAGCACCATTCCTTAGCAGATCCTGATGAGAGCATGCCTTGAAAAGGCTACGTGTATTCTCATCATCACACAAACTTTGCAACGAGTAACCCAGATGTCTCAACAAATGTGGCCTAAGAGAGGAGCCCAAGAAATCTTGTTGGTGGAGGTTTTTTGGTTTTTGGAGTTAATGTGTAAATTTGTCTTAAAAATTTTTATTTAAGAGTGGTGGATATTTGATTTTTTTTTGGTGTAAATTTACTCTAAAAATTTAAAATTATAGCAATATTGCCTCATACTATTAAAAAACTAACATTAGTTATTAAAATAGTAACATTAATCGTTAACATTTTTTTATAGTAAGGGGCAATATTATTATGATTTTAAACTTTTAAGGCAAATTTACATACACAAAAAATTAGGTACCCAGTGATCTTGAATAAAAACTTTCAGGATAAATTTACATTTTAACCTCTTTTTTTCAGCTAAATACAGGTAGGTAATCTTATTTAGGGGGTGATTGGCAAACTTTAAAAATGCAATTTTGGGTCTCAACCATGATTTGGCTTGAAAACCATCCAAACACATTTGGAATGCTGTTGGGAGAAGAAAGCGCACCTTGGAAAGAGTGAAACTTCAACTGGTGGTATATTTAAGAGTGAGATATTATTCGGGTCTTTTAAGAAAACAGGTTGTTTAGAAAAAGTTAGGTTGAAGGAAAAGCCTCTTCAAATTTCCCCCTAAATTACGTTTTACATTGTCCAACACGCGTTCTGTAACGCCTGAACTTTAAACCTATTTTTAATAGCAAATAGAAGTAAATGGAACCATTCATTAGGTTTTTAAGTTGGTAAATTTCAATTTTGACAACTTTTCTTCTCGAATTACTATTCACATAACCCTAAAATCTGACTAACTTTAAAAAATCATAACTAATTCTAAAAAAATCAAAATGAAGTGATTCTAAGTTCTATTTGAAACTTGTAAAGAGATATTTAGGGAAAAAATAATTCCAAGTTATGTTTCCCTCTCATGCGTTCCCAGATTTCATAGAAAGGTACCCTATTCATCTGGTCATTTTTTCAATTTTTTAGAATTTATGTCTAATTTTGGAAAGCCATAACTTTTTATACAAAACTGCAAATCCTATAATTAATACTCATTTTAAAGCTAAAAATGAGATCTATTAGATTATTAAGTTTCAAATTTTGATTCATCTAATTGCCTAAAATCTCACAGGTCAAAGTTTAGGCACCCATTGGTCAAACTTCAATCATTTAATGTCAATTCTTGTATTATGGCATTTGATCAAACCAAAACCATTATCCAGCATACCAAACAGTCAAAAACTATACTTTTGTCAAGTTATACAGCACATAAAGTCATATAATCAATCATCCAATATTACAAGTTTTACAAAGCAAGTTTTCAAAATGATAAACATAAGTAAGATCTTCACATTCAAG